CGTCATAAATGATTTAACTGAACTGAGAAGAATGTGTCATAAATGATTTAACTCAATCAAGATTCTTCTGCAGCATGCTTGAAGCTACTTCCTCATTAGGAACAAAGACGCATAAGAGAAATACGAAAGGAAGAAGAGGGGAAAATGACCCGAGACCCCTTCCATTTCATACTGTCATCATGCATTGACCAAAAAACTATTGCTTCATTCACAGCAGAATAGAAACTAAATCATTAACACATAAAGGACGAACTTTGCTACTGAAAGCTCAACCAACAGTACAGAGGAGATTGTAAAGTATACTTGCCATGATTGACAAATTCTGAGTGGTTAATACTGTTGCCAGTGCCACCTTGTTGACTGAGGCTCTGATTTGATATACTGATGGATGACATACTTCTCTGAGATTGAACCATACTGTTCTCCAGGTCACATGTGCTGGTGCTCCAGAAATCTTCAGATATGCTGGGTTTCTTAACTAGCCGACCTTGAATTCTCAATCCCTTTGATGGCTCATCCACAGCAATGATCGGCTGAGATTTGGTGCAGCAACCAAAACAACCTCTGTTCTGTTACAATTCAGGTTCATTAACATATACAATACATGCCAGAAGCAAGATATTCACTTTTTGTGTCCCACAACCAGAACTGAGTTTGTTGTTTACTGTTCACTATTGCAGTAGCATGAGCATTTGCCATGATTTGTGTTTTGGGAAAAAAAAAGATCTGCTTCCGAAGTAAGATTATGATTTCTCTATGTTGCAGAAGGATTAGCAAACATTCACACAATTACAAAACCTTTTTTTGTTTTCAATATTTGTGTAGTTTATAGTTTACTGTTCACTAATGCAGTAGCTTAAAAATTTGCCATGCTGTGTGGCGAAACCAAAAAAAAAAAAAAAGTATCTGCTTCCGAAGTAAGATCATGATTTCTATTAGTTGCAGCATTCACACACACCAAAAAAAAAATTTGTTGTCAATATCTTTCCTAATCCAGGTGATGAGCAGGAAGTTTTCAGCCATAGGTGTACAACAAACGGAACTCAAGATCAGTTAATATTAAGAAATTGACAATTTTGGAGATCAAGACCACTACAAGACATCAATTCCTAGCACTCAAACATAAGACAGCTTTTGAGCAATAGCAATGAAGTTTACCAAACGTGTGCTAAGCATACAGACATATGTATAAACAGAACGCCACATAACAGTTAAGCAGAAAACATGAAAACATGCATAACCTTTTGGCCTGGCGTAATGGAAAGAGAACAAAGAAGAAACTAGAAACAAATTTATCGGCTAATTAATGGGCTAAGAAGTCCTGAAATTAAGATACTTAAAAGACAGCATATTCCCTCCTCCCTTTTATCCTTTCCAATTTCTTTCAACTTCTTTGCTTCATGATTCCAATGAGCAGGAGATCTGTGTTTGGCTCTCTTTTCAGATTAGGCCTAAGCACCACATTCAATTTTTCTCTACAGAAAATTCCTTATGACTCTTGTTCACTCAGAGTTCTTTCTTCAACGCTTCTTTCCTTCGCCTCATAGCTAATCAGCACCTAGCACCTACTACCAGGAAAAAGAATCCATGGTTTTAACTGCAAGGACTGGTATAACTTATCCTAAACAAAATGCCAATTAAAAGATTCAAGCTCCACGCACAAAATCTTTTCTTGCTTAATGCACTATCAGAAGAAGAGTACGGTTTATAAGATCATTGAGGTAATCATGAATTACCTGAGAAGAATGTTACTCTTCAAACTTAGACCTACAGGTTTCAGGTCCTTACCTCCAGTAACTTGTGACTTTCCACAGTAACATAAGCAAAGAGGAAATGAAGAAAGAGAGAAATGGGAGGAGACAAGAAGGTCTGCGATGTCCAGGACCAAGCTAGAGTAATCAACCACATACCAGCACACTAGCATGTTTAACATTCAATCCTTCTGTATCGCAGCCACCAGATGTGACTTCAATACTTTCCAAGCAGAAGACAACAACAGGCTACTGCATACTTTGGACAGGGAGGTTTCAAGGACACCAGACCAGAAAACTATAATCACCAGTTCGATATTTTTAAGAAGACACTAAATTAACCTCCTAGCAAGGTACAAATATATCTACCCTCCTATTTATCTTATTTACTACATTGGAAGAATTTTTTCACCACAAAATGGTAAATGTTGTTTACTCCAACTACATGTCCTGTAATCATTACTCCAAGCCAGCAGAAAGCAATTTGCAGCACCTGTATTTGTCAGGATATCGCTCCAATCACAATTATAGATAAGAAGGATATTGGAGTATTGGGCTGGCTGTTTTCAATCAAAATGGTGCTTTAGCATTTATAATAAACAAAGACACTGTTTTAACAGTATGGACACAGAAAATGGAGCAATACTGCTGTTTAGAGGAAGACATAGAAAAGCATACCCCCAGTCATAATATTTCAAGTATTTACTAAACATATTCTGCAACTACAAGTATGAATTGTAAAGAGAAAGCACAATCAGTATTTAGACTTGCATTCTCTAATATAAATCTACAGTTTTAAAGGCATTAACATGTTTTGAAGGAAAATAACACTCTCATACAACCAGAAGCGCATACAATTGTACACACACCATCTCAACCGTAATAGTTGTTGTGTTATGATCATTTGAATAGTGTCTGAGTCATGGAAAAAGAAACAAATTCTAACATTTAAGTGCATAATTCACGGTCTCAAACATTAAGTCAAACGCTGTCTCAGTCTAATCCTTCGCATATGCCTATTGCATACATCCAGGAAGTCATAATAGTATGTAACGAAAAGCTCAGCCAAGCTTCACACACACCATATAGTATATAAACAAGTCTGGTTTATCTTACATCTCCTTTTTCAGCATTTTTCACTTTCTCAACTAATAATAGATCATGTTTTTACCAGATGATTAGTTTCAACTCTTTCATTTCAAAAGAATCATGAATGTGCAAGTAGCAGCCTGGAAAAGTCTAGTTTCTCTATCTTTCCATCTTAAGTACTAAAAAGAGAGAAAAAAAAAAAAAAAGCAGAAAAATTGCAACCACAATAACCAGACAATACAAAAGTCCGTACACCACCACAAAAGAGACAAAATAGAAGAACTTTTTATCTGGCAGACAGTTTTAGAGTTTTACACAATCCAGTTGCCGCTTTTGACACTACGACAACGGAAGATAACGAGCAAAAGGTAAAGAATAGAAAAAACAAATTAAATACGACTGTGTTGTCCAAATTTGGTAAACAAGAACAGCCCATCCCACTCTTAAGTCTCTAGAATCAAAACATCTAATTATAACCACAAAAAGAGCCAGCCCGAGCTTTCCAGTATAATTCTTTAGTTCTCCATGCTTCTAAACCAAACAAAAAAATAGAAGCCCCTCGAAACAGATAACAGAACTTCAACAGTCAATACAACGGAGAGAACAGTAATAGGAAGAGACAGGAGCAAATGATAAGAACCAGAATAACTTACCCCATGCAAGCAAGAAAGCTGCTGATCCAATCAGTGAAAGAAGTGTACAGCATCATATACCTAAACATGAAGCGGCATCAAATTATCAAAACCCAATCTGTATTTCCAAACGGCCCAGATCAACCAAACCCAACATCAAGCTCCAATCATAAATCCAGCCCTGCAAACATATTTGAAGAAAAGTTAAAAAGGGTCGATAGTTTCTATGGAATTTTCACTGTCAAACAAGCAGATATTTTAGGATGGCTACTTATGTATGCATAATACTCCATAAATACCTGCAACAGCACTAGGAAATACTACTCCCATTACCATATGCCGCCAGTTGATCAACAAACTGCTGGCTACAATCACACCTAAATCCTAATTTGTGAAATTGGGCGGGGGCGGATTGTGAGGAGCGGGACTGTTTGTTTGCTGGGGTGAATCAATCGAAAGTCGAAAGTAAGCGGTGGTTAAGTTAAGTGGGTAATTTACGAGAGGGTTAAGTGGGGCCCGCTCGTTGTTAAACCTTATCTACTTTCTAACTTTCACTAAATCCAGCTAGGATTATAGTGGTTAATTAACTTAATTTCAATGCCCCAGGACACGCGCTTCTTCCTTTCCCACGTGCGATTCCCCTCTTTTTCTTTTTCTGAGGACCCCAAAAAAAAAAAAAAATCTCCCTTAGTAATTGACCTTCTATTGTACGAACAGCTGCTGGCCATTAAAATTATTGAGTTGGACTTGAAAATAAATTCCTTCAACCTCGAAATAAGCATCTGATATCATAAAGTGAAATTGTTTTTTTTTTTTTTTCAGAGTGAGTTTAACAGAGCAGCTCAATTCAAGGACTGATAATGCAAATTTTCAAGCCATACACAGTACTTTCCACGATCTTAGGATACCATCTCATCTGAGTGAATATATATATAGATATTGGTTGTTTGCTGAGGCCCTATTCCTGTCTTTCCTTATCATCCTGCAGTACCATTCAGCTTTTCCCATTTGGGGCAAAAAAGTGTCGGTTGATACTCACTTGAGAAACTATATAGTTAGGATAGCTACAACATTATTATTGTCTCTGGACAACTCGCTAATTTGGTACACAAATCTGCGCATGATTTTAGTTCACAAATGACACTACTAATACATCCTTTTCTTTTGTCAATCAATTGACATCTGCCTTTGCACTAAAGCTTCCGCCAACCCAGTAGTGTAATTTGTGTGCGAAATGATTGCTAGATGAATAGGATGGGTTAAAGTTAGGTCCCTGAATCCATGGCCAATCATTCAACGAACCGGTTCAAATCAATTATTAGAGCCGGCTATTGATTAATCTTTTCAAGAAAAAAAAAAAACTATTGATTAATTATTGTTGAATGAGAAACACATAAATTCTTGGGCCCACGTACGTCAATCACCGTACGTACTTAGGAATTCAAGTGGCGTAGTCCTGCAGGGAACATTCCAAGGATTGAATCCTAATTTTCCCTCCCTTGTCAGACCGTCACCTTCAATAATTTTCTTCAACGAAATCCCGCTGGTTAGGCTCCCCTCCATTTAAACTAGTTTAGAATAAATTATACAAATATTATCGCTGTTAAAAAAAAAAAAAAATCCTATACAGGTCCAAATCTCTCACGACTGGCAGTAGAAACGCACCGGTCCAGTGGATCGGGCCACACATTACTGTTGGGCCCTTCTCAAAGAGCCCCAAACTTCAGGTCAGCAGTGCTACAAGCTGAATGAGGCCCAAGGGCTGCAGGGGCCCAATAGAGCACTTGTCGCTTGCTAAACCCCGAGTGCATCTACTAGTCCCTTACAAAATCCCTGTAACATGATCTATTTTAAACGAACCTGCAAAATCCTTTGTCCATTCTGCTCGTTTTATTCTTTCAGCCATGGGTTCTGCTCGTAGTTTAAGTTTCGGGAAGACAAATCACAGATGACATAATTTTGATGGGCTAATAACATTATCTATTACCAAAACAGTTTAGCAAGCTGCGCTGCAAGAGCAACAAAATTCGAACATATACTCCCATGCGTTGGAAAGTTGAAATTCTCCAGCCAAATCTTCTACTGCTTAGTGGCACGATTTAGCAAAATTGAAGCCAGACCAACTCTCCACCAAGGTGTCACAGAGGGCTCAGTCTTCTTGGATATAAGAGAAGGCAGACCAGTGTGAACGCTGCTACCAAGTGTACCCTCCGGCTTGCTACTTGTCACAGAAGAACTACTGAAGATATGCACAAAAAGAAAGAATCAAAAGGCTGGCCACGAACTGTATCACCAGAATATGTAATATGCGTAGTGCTAGAGGTGGTTGCTAAATACAAAACACAAGAGTAGGCATACAATAACTAGTTTTCTCTTAAAAGGGAACACTCAAAATTGTTAAAATTTTCCCAGCTTCAATAGAGCGCAATGGTTTAGTGCCGCAAGTTCACTTATGAGTTATGACTAAGGACCCGAAACACAATCCTGCTAGATATACGTTCCATAGCTGACAATGCTGCTGTTGTTTCGACGTTTTCAGAAGCGTCATGATGTAAACGTTCAATTGCATAGCACAACTTGGTCCTTAATTTAGATAACAAAATAAGGTGCCCACATTATCATGCTTTCTTGCTTTAAGAAAGTCAGAGAAGCCTTGTGGTCTAACCAAGTTATACTACTTTTCTGATGTGTAAAATGATCATAATCTATAGTTCACGTTAATCCAGAATAGCAGCGACATTGTAAATTAACCAGAATAAAAGACAAATTTACATGACTCACCTCCAAGTGAACAAACCTGAACACAGCAACTTAAAATCCCATCTCTATCACAAACTTATGCTCAAGTCTCCATTACAAATTTGTTGTGCCTTACATTAGTAATTTATATAGGTTTTCTGATATGTAAGCAGGTGGTCTGTTTATTTTACAAGAATGCAGTCGTCATCCCTGAGGTAGTCTGCCTACTCTAATGCTTGGCAGAAAATAAGCATGCATAAAATAACTAAGCATGAAAAAACTGAAATTATGCACAAGAAAAAAAGAGCTCATTTGAGAGTGCATACATCAGGGGTGTTGGACCTTCATATGCAAACGTGGAAATGCCCTGTCGTTGCTTGTGCTTGGGATTAACTGAGCACAGCACATACACTCGACCACGTCGTTTAACGGTTCGACAGAACTCACACATTTTCTTAACTGATGACCTAACCTTCATATCTGCTGACAATATATCAATCAGGGAAAATCATGAGCTTACATAATCTACAGACAAGTACAACAAAGTTTCTTATAGATAAAATGCTACCACTGGCGAAGCATGCAACAATAAAACTTCATAAGAGCAGTTTGATACCTAGCTAACAGCATACAACCATTCAAGATAGTGAAACGCTGAAAGGAGAAATGACAATATTACAGATGCATAATCAACTGATCAATAAGGCAGTTGCAGCACAGATTACGTTATTAATCATATTTATCTTCACTTCATTCACATTCCAGACATAAGAATATAAAGCGCCCTCAAACCCAAGAAACCATTTACAACTACTATAATGGATCCTTTATGACCTCCAACATAGGAACAAAACTTTGATTTAATTTCATATACATAGTCAGCAATTCTTTAGGAAATTTCAAGTTTCATAATCTGTTCTTTGAGAAACTAGAGTTCTTTAGCTTCTCAGTCATCTATCACATCTCAAAATAACCATTTCGGTCAGCAATAATCCCTCAGCCTGAAATCCAATTGAACATGTATTGGAGATTGGTTTCTTTAGTTAAAGCGCACAAGTCTGGACATGTTGTCAAGCTTCTTTCCTGCTATTTCAAGCAATCTAGCCTCAAGTACAATCCAGTAAATAAAGCAGAAAAGTTGAAGAACAAAGATCCTCATATGTCATACGTACTAAAGAAACAACGTGTGACAAGTAAATGAGAATGCGCGTTTTTTTTTAACCATCAATGGAATTCGTATACTTTTAAACTTTCCACTTTAAACTAAAAACTAATAATCCTGCATCAAAACACATGGTCTACCTCACAGCAGAACTAGACATGCAAGGACCTTTATACATGACGCATAAATCTGAACTGAGCCATCTATATAGTATCAACATTTCATAAGCCCACAAGATCATCTATTAAGTACCTTAGCCATGAAGCTAAATCCCAAAGAAAACTGGAGCTGAAAACATTTTCAGGATTGCCCAATAATAAAAAGGAAATGATGCAAAATACCCAGAGAAGAAGGAAAAATGCCCGTTACTTTCTTTTTTTTTTATTGTTTTTCAGCAACAACATATTGCCATAGCTGAATCTATAGTTTTTACCAGTCTTTCTAAAGCTATTAAAACAGAAGGGTTGCATTGAAAACCAACTTGAATCTTGAAGGGGGGAAAAAAAGAAAAAGAAAATTCATTTCCTAAGAGCAGCCAAAGTTTACTACTTAACTTTCTCGTAAACCAAAACCCTTCAACTGGAAAGAAGCAATTAACAACCTTGGTATGTGTATGGATAAGAAATCAAAAATTCAAAAACCGACTAGACAACGATTTGGGGGAGTGAATAAACTCGTAAAAAACACTAAATTAAATCCAGGGTTTTCGGCGTTAATAAAAGATTGTGCAGAAAAATTGATCAAATAAGAAGTTACCTGAATGATAAAAGGGATGTTTATTGTGATTTTTTGCTTCGCCGATTGCAGAAACTGAAAATGGAGGGCGAGGCTGCGGCACTGCCGAGCTAAAAAATAATAAAATATTAGTGGTCAAATTTAGGCTGGTTTCAACGCTGGCCCATAGAGAGCGGGCTTAAGAAGTGGCTTCTAAACCCAAATTGGAAATGCAAATGATTTTGTCTGTTTGTTGAGTTGGGCTGGTGCCCAATGTTATAAAATTTTCGTAACTTTTCCATGTGGGAGTTAAGTACAAAATTAAAAGATGAGATTGGGGGCCATCATATTTTGGAAATTTTTATGATTCATTTAGGACATCATTCATTCATTTTGGAAATAGTTTATATTTTAAAATATTGAAATTGTCATCATCTATGAGTCAAAACATTTATTTCAACATTTAAATATAAATTTAATTTAGAATATGATACTCAAAAAATTTATTATTAGAACCACAAAATTTATAGCAGACAAAATATTGCCAAATTAATATTTGAGATTTCACAATAATTACAGCGAAGCATCGCTTGGGATTTCAGAACAATTACAGTAAAGAATAAAAATCCCAAGCAAGATTGAGATATTTAAACCCGCACTAAAATGTAAATGAGTAAATCTCATATATACTGACAGTGTATACACATACTATCACGGTGAAAGTATTCAATGGTATCATGAATTCAATGATGAAAGTGTATAGACTATTAGGAGATTAATCCAAAATAAAAACCATTAAAACTTGATTTAACGTGTTCCAGAAGACTTAGTTAGCATTTGGGCCAATGGGTGGCCGTTAATATATATGTTTGTATTTTCCAGGAACCATCTTAAAGTTGCCGTGGCATGGGAAAATGACAAAAGATGGAAAGCTTAAAAAATCCAACCCAATAATCTCTTTATTTCCCCAAGATAATCTCTTTGTTTCAGACAACGGAACGGGCATCAAGTCATCAACTAATTAAATCACCAGCGTAGCGTAATTAACCCTCAACTTGTTGGCGAACCAGAAACATTCTGGGCGTTAGCTTCCCATGTATTGTAAACACGACTGATTGCACAATTGAGGCAGTAGATTACACAAGCAAGGATATGATTTGATTAAATAAATCCCACCTGCTGCCGTCATTAAGTTACAATAATTTTTGGCAGACGCTCAATTATTGGTTAAGAAGGGTTGATCCTGATCTTGATCTAGCCTATCATGGCAGGCCATCTCCTCAGCCAGCAGCCCTTACTCCTCAGGGCCAAATGATTCGACCCACCCTTTTAAGGACCACGTTGCTCTACACCACATCTTCCGCTCCCGCATTAATTAAAAGTTGTTACTCCCTCCCTTTTTTTATAACTGTCGTTTAAGGTTTTGCACACCAATTAAGAAAAGTTTTCATTGCTTAAATCTATACACCACTTTCCTTTTATACCCTCATTAATTATTCAATTCACCCATGTTTTCTAGGAAAGAATATGGAAGGGCAGAGAGAAGCAATAATTACTAGGAGTAGTAATTAAGAATCCTGTAAGAGAGATAAAAGGGTAAAATTGTGAAAAAATAATAAATGCTGCATGGGGATAGTAAAACGACAGATAAAAGTACTTAAGAGCAAATTCCTTAAACGACAGTTATAAAAAAAGGGAGGGAGTATTAAATTAATGTAATGGCCATGTTACACAAAGATCTTTATGTCGAATGTGTCTTTGCCTCTCCTTCTTAATAGTTACTACTAGTGTGACATGGGATGATCAATTACACGACGAAAGAAATTTAAGGTGTCACGGTTTGATTAGTTAACCTTGACCACGAAAGGTCCTTTGGGTTTCGTCATGGGAAGGAAGGAATAAGAAACTTTTATTGGATGGATTGGTGTCATTTCTAGAAGCTCTTTCCTTAAGTTAGTCAAGGGTGTTGGGCCAACGGTCTGCTTTTTGACAATTCAATAAGGTTACTACAATATAAGTCCCTGGGATTGCCTCAAGAGTTGCCGGCTTTTGAGGTTAATTCTGGGATTAGGTTTATAAAACAACAAAAGTCTGATTCAGGCTGTTGAAAAAAAATAAGGTTACTACAAAGTTGATGAGGTCAGATGGAAGGACCCGGAAGCATCTAACATAGAATGAGATTTGCACACGCAATGCCTTGCTGTTTATGTCACATTGACATCTGCCTAATGCCTGTTCAAAGTCCACGTCTAGATAGGATTGTTAAATGGCTCGGGTCAGCTCGAGTTCGACCCCAAAAAAACCTCAATCAACCTAATTCCTCATTGTGTGTTGGGGCTGATTTTGGGTATAAACATTATATTCGAATTAAATATGAGCTGAATTTGGAATTTATTAGGCTCAAATTTGATATAAATCCGGTCATTTAATCTGCATCTATATATATAATTATATATATAATATCACTAATATTTTATAGTTATGAGTTATGTGTCAAAATATATTTATATATATATAAGAAATATGAAATATACAAAATTATGTCAAAAGATTTTGAAGGAAAAATCTTAGTACGAGTAAATTGAGAACCTTTAATGATGTATTGACTGTTAATCATGTTTTATTACTATTTTTATGTACTTTGAATTAATTGGATACATTATTGTTGAAAATTTATTAGTTTATATACTTTTTAATGAACTATTACTGGCTTGTTTATAATTTTAATGTTGTGGTCCTGTGAATGTTATATTAGGTTTAGATTTTAATAGTTATAATAATTTTATTAAAGAAATTAAAAAGCAATACATGAGGTTGAGCTAAGCCCGAATTAGATTCACGCTCGAATATTTTGTGAGTCAAATATAAATTTTACATTATCAACCTGAAACTCATAATTCAAAACTTAAAAGTGATAGTCATTATATGAGCCAAACCTAAACTTGTTAAAAGCCGATTCAGATGGTCCCATTGACAGCCTACACATAGTTATCACTTTTTTTCTGTCTATATATGGTATTACCATTCAAGACCACGGCAACATTTGTGATTAAAAAAATTTTTACTTGTGGGTAAAACTTAGTCATAACTTTACTCAATAGACAAGTTTTCTTTTTAATTTTAAGATCATGTTTAACAGGTGTTATAATAAATTAGCTGTTTATATACTACTAGGACTTACGCATAAAGTACTTGCCCCAGTAGATACCCATAAGCAACGACATGCAGGCAGGAACTTTCTAGGAAATTTGAAATTTCGAGGTTGGACTTCAATTCGGACTTTGGAGAGAGGACCAGTGGTAATTTCATTCATACGACGTCATGAATAAACTAAGCAGTATACTAGCTAATGCCAAGATTATCATGCATTGACCTAACTAATTAATGGGAAAACGGGTTTAGCTATGCTAAATCATAGTTTGGCATCTCCAAATTATCTTCTTTTCTGAAGAGAACACTCGGGCCAGTGTGTTATGCTGCAGGTGTGTGGAAAGGATCATTGAACCATGGATTCATGACGACTAGTTAAGCTTGGAAGACATGATTGATTTGTTTGAACTTCTTGCCTTGCAAGTACCCTTTCCTTTCACAGGACTCCAAAAGTTACCGGCTTTTGGAGTTACTGTGGGGAGTTAGGTTTATTTGCCAAAAATTCTTACTTCCGTAAGAAAATGTCAGAAAGAAAACTCATTTTCAGGGGGCTTGGGGGGTCTTTATCTCTTAGCAGCGGGGCACCCCTGTGGGGTTTTCTATCCCACATCGGTAATGGGGGGGTTGGGGTTTAGGTTTATAAGTCCCTCACAGGACTCCAAAAGTTACCGGCTTTTGGAGTTACTGTGGGGAGTTAGGTTTATTTGTCAAAAATTCTTACTTTCGTAAGAAAATGTCAGAAAGAAAGTACCCTTTCCTTTTTGTGTTTCTTTTCCTATCAGGTCAGGGGTTCAAAGTTCAAACACAAAAGGAGTAGAAAAAAGGCGGTAGAAAGAAATTTGGATTGCCGTTTTCCGTCGAAAAATTACGTCGTTTTCCGTGATCACATTTCCCTATTACCTTTTCCCTCATATATATCAAATCGCTACAGTAATTTTTTCATGAAAAATACAATCCAAACACAACCTTAGTTTTTCTTTTTGTGCTAAGAGATGTGTGTTTAATTGGTACCAGTATTAACGTGGCAAGTTTCATAAGTAAGATGCATGCAAGATTTTTCTCATTATAATTTAACCATTTTGCAGCTCCTCTTATTTCCTTCTACTTTTTTTTAATCACTTCTTTTTTTTTTTTCTTTCTTGAAAATTAGCTAGCAAATTTAGGCAGTAGTGTATTAGGAATCTATCACCCCCAGTGGGTAGCTCGGTTGGTTCCGATCGTCCGTCTTTACAGCAAGGCCCGAGGTTCGACACCCACTTGCTACCATTGTTGGGCATCTTTGGGGCGAGCTCTGCCCAGCCTGGGGGATTAGTCCAGGTGATTTCGGGATACCCCTCTAGACTGTTAAAAAAAAAAAAAAGTAATAGGAATCTATCAACCACGCCTACCCTTAAACTTCACGTGACTTGTCCAAACCTACAAAGCGATGAAGCAGTGTCTCCTCACATCCTGTTTCCAGTGCTCTTTTCTTATAGTATATGTTTATAAAGATTACGTAAAAAATTTTGAGATCTTTTTTTTTTTTTTTTTAGAAAAAAGGACTATTTGTTAGGATGATTTAGTAGCACATAACAAATTTCAGATAACGATGATAATGGAGTCCAACAATTATGGACAACCTGCAGAACTTTGGCCAGGTAAAGACAATAAAATTCTAGTATTTTTATTCATGTTACATCACCAAAAGGCCACAGCAGATTAGGCAAACGCCAATCTTCTATAGGCAATCTGCAGATTCTCTGCCGGTCTGTGCCATACACAAAGTGTTAAAATTCATTTAATGCAACCCACTCCTACTCCATCATACCCTTTTCAGTTGCCCATGCTTTGCTCTTTCTATATAGCTTTCTAATATTTGGCCTCTCCAACCATCTTTTGACGCGTATGCCTGGCCAATCAGAGGCTGAAATTTATTTAGACTAACAACAGCTTTATATGCTGCCCCCCGACGCCCAGAGACGCCAAGCAGAACACAGATTCTGTGAACCAAAGAAAAGATAACGAAAGAAAGGAGTTGGAAAAAAAAACAACAACAAAGA